TATATATATATATATATATATATATATATATATATATATATATATATATATATATATATATATATATATATATATATATATATATATATATATATATATATATATATATATATATATATATATATATATGATGACACTATATTCCGGGATATCATCCGTTCGCTCGTTGAACTCCGACTGGAATCCTGCATCCGACTGGAATCCTGCAAATCTTGCATCCGACTGGAATCCTGCAGACGTTTCGCCAAAATCTCACTTGGCATCTTCAATGCTCGCGCTCCGAAAACACTTCGAACACAATATATATATATATATATTGTTCGAAGTGTTTTCGGAGCGCGAGCATTGAAGATGCCAAGTGAGATTTTGGCGAAACGTCTGCGGGATTCCAGTTGAAGTTCAACGAGCGAACGGATGATATCCCGGAATATAGTGTCATCATATATATATATATATATATATATATATATATATATATATATATATATATATATATATATATATATCTTACTATCCTTATGGCGTCTATCTATTGTGAAATTACATTCACTAGAGCGTCAGTGTGTGTCAGGGACCTGGTTCCAATTCTGGTCAGATCCCCCACTCGGGACGGCGTGAGGGAGGTAGTAGTCGCCTCTGCGTACTTTCCAGGCGACCGCAGCTGCCCTCCGCAGGAGATCAATGACTTGGTCTCCTACTGTGAGGAGGCGAATCTTCCTCTTTTGATTGGCTGCGACAGCAATTCTCATCACGTTTTGTGGGGCAGCGCGGCAACGAATAGAAGGGGGGGAGACCTCGTGTAGTTCATGGCCTCGGCAGGGCTGTAGGGGTAGAACCCACGTTTTTCACGACGGGTAGGAGCTCGGTCCAGGGCTCTGCTCCCAGAAATAACTGGGTGGTGTGTCTGTGGGGAGGACTCTATGTCGGACCATAGATACATCACCTTTGGGTTGGAGATGGGTGTTCGGGAACCCGTTAGATTTAGGACGCAACAAACTGGGAACTCTAGAGAGAGGAGCTCGCTTGGCGCCTAGCAGGCTTACCAAGGAAACACCGGACAATGGAGGAGATTGACGAGGCCGCCGACCGAGTCAGCTCCGCTATGATAGGGGCGTTCGAGAATAGCTGCCCTGAGACAGAGGAGCATAGGGCGGGGTGGACTCCTTGGTGGAGCTCTTCCCTGGAGCGTCTCAGGAGGAAAGTGCGGAGGCTGTTCAATACAGCGAGGAGCACCAGCCAACGTGCGGACTGTATAGGACTCTATAGGGAGGTTCGCAGACAGTACAAAAAAGAACTACGGTAATCACAGAGGAGGGCCTGGAGGGCCTACTGCGACGGAGTAATGAATACCCCGGACGCGGCTAGGCACCTTAGGGTACTCAGAAGTGACCCTGCGGGAAGACTGGGAGTGGTCCGCAGGACCGGCGGTGGCTACACAGCTGGACCAGCGGACACACTACAACAGCTGCTGAACACGCACTTCCCAGGGTCTGCTGATCCGGACACAGGGGGGAATATTGAAGCCGGGGGTCGTCTTGGATGCGACTACGCCAGGGCAAGGAGGGTGGTTACCCATAGTAGGCTGAGGTGGGCTATTGACAGCTTTGGCCCCTTCAAGTCGGCGGGCGAGGATGGAGTATTTCCGGCTCTGCTGCAAAGGGACGGAGGTCTCCTGACCAGCCCGCTGATGGACCTGTTCAGGGCCTCCATTGCGAGGGGGTACGTGCCCGACCTGTGGAGACACAGCAGGGTAGTGTTCATTCCCAAGGTAGGGAAGAGTGACTACACGGACCCGAAGTCGTACCGGCCCGTTTGCCTCACCAACTTCATTATGAAGACTCTCGAGAGACTGGTGGACCGGTATCTGAGGGACCGGGTGGAGCTGGAGTCCCCTTTAGAGCCAGCTCAGCATGCGTACCGAAGTGGCGGGTCTGTGGGCTCAGCTCTTCACCATCTGACTTCCAGGTTGGAGGAGGGTATGGGCTCGGGACGGCTGTCGGTGTGCGTGTTCGCTGACATCGAAGGGGCATTCAATAACACGGCCCTGTACTCGATCTGCAGGGCGGTGGAGAGTACTGTAGTGGGGACGGCCATTGTAAGGTGGATCCGCTCCATGCAAAAGCGACCGGAAGATTGAGGCAAGACTGGGTGGGGAGCAGGTCTCCATCGGTTCATCACGGGGTTGTTCACAGGGCGGGGTCTTGTCCCCGTTCCTGTGATGCCTAGTGGTGAACGAGAAATTGCATATTCTGAGGGAAGAACACGGGGTCTATGCTCAGGCATATGCAGACGACCTTGTGATAATAACACAGAGCATTGGCAAGATTCTCACAATGGTGCCTGGACAGCAAGATGGCTGTCAATCCTAGCAAGGTGGAGAAGGAAAAGCGGAAGTGTCAAGTACTTGGGCGTATGGTTGGACTCTAAGTTAACCTTCCAGGAACATATAAGATCAAGGACCAGGTCGGCCTTTGGAGCTCTGTGGGCGTGCCGGAGAGCGGTAGGGGGCACTTGAGGTCTGGGGCCGAAGATCGTGCAGTGGATCTACGGTACCATGGTGGTGCCTATGCTCACGCATGGGGCAGTGGCATGATGGCCGGGGACCAAAAGAGCGGGAGCAAGGCTAGTTCTTGACAAACTGTAGAGATTGGCTTGCCTCTGCATAACGGGCGCCATGAGAACGGCGCCCACGAGGGCCCTAGAGGCTCTGGTGGGGTTGCCCTCTTTGGCGGATCGGGTACAGATGAAGGCGGCCAGGACAGCTGAGAGGCTGGCGAGCTGCGGGCTCTGGAGGGAGTCAATCTTCAATCGGGGTCCGTACGATATTTTAGAGGGCTGTCGCGGGGATCATGGGCATACGGAGTGACGTCATGATCCCCGAGATAACCTTCTTTGACAAATTGACCTTTCACTATCCATCAAGGGAAGATTGGAGAGAGGGCAGAGTCGGCTCCTGGGATACACTTGTCTGGTACACGGACGGGTCCAGAATGGGAGATCTGGCCGGAGCTGGAGCATACTGCGAGACAACGGGATCGAGCTTGTCGGTCCCTGAGTCAGTAATGCACTGTGTTTCAGGCGGAAATTTTTGCTTTATTGACGGCGGCCAGAGAGGTGCTTCGGCTCAACCACGAGCAGGAGAGTCTTCTTCTGCTCGGATAGTAGGGCTGCATTCATGGCGCTGAAGTCAGGGCGTACGCGCTCCTTGTTGATAAAGAAGTGCAAAGGGGTACGGAGGAGGGTGGCTGAGGAGAGAAAGGTCACGTTGATCTCGGTCCCGGGTCACACCGGTATCCGGGGCAATGAGGCAGCGGACGCCTTATCCAGAGAGGGCTCCTCGCCTAGGCATATAGGGCCAGAGCTCCGCTTGGGGATCGCCCCGTGTGTGAGGCGGGGAGCTCTCGAACCCTGGACGAGAGACAGGGCCTCGGGGGGCTGGAGAGTTGCTCCGGGAATGAGGCAGGCGAGGCTTATGATGGATGGGTCCGCCCTTCCTCGGACCAGGGAGCTGCTTTGACTGACCAGAAGGGAGTGTAGAGCACTAACATGGGCCTACACAGGACATTGCACGCTTAGGAGGCATCTTTGCTTGCTAGGCATTGGAGACGACCCGGAGTGTAGGTGGTGCATGGAAGGGGAGGAGAGGAGAGTCTTCGGAACGGCCCTGATCGATCCGGACTCAGTGCGCGGTATTGGGCTAAAGGAGTTGCTGACCTTCTATAGGAGGGGCGGCATTATGGACGCCCTCTAGAGCGGCCTGGGGGCACAACGGGCCCATCTGGTGGCCTAAGTGCTTGGCCGCCCGCGAGGGCGCCCCCCTTTAATACCAATACCAATACCAATACCAATGGCACAATGGATGATGATGATGTCGAAGCAATCAAATATAATAATGTGAATTGTTCGGGAATCAAAAACAAAAATCTTACATTCCTGTAGGTATCATCTCCAACGCTTGGGTTCGTCGGCAGGAATAGGGCCTGCGGCGGGTCTTTTCGCCTTGGGGACCTCGTGTTTCTTGCGTTGATGACGTCGGAGGGCCCCCACGGACTTGGATATCCTGTCGCAAACGTCGCAAATTTGTACTGCTGCGCGTCAATCCCAGTGCCTCGCGAGGTGGTCTTCTCGGCTGAACAAACGTTTTTAACGGTTCTGCAAGGAATAAGCGTCTCACTCTCGAATTGTTCCAGAATTACCTAACACTTTTCTTTTCTAAGCGCTGAAACACAAAAAAAAAAACAAAGAATGAAGACTGACTCTCGGCGGTTACTTGTTAATAACTTCATTTCCTTCTGCGATAACGAATTTAAAATAATCCAAACATTCGAGGACGTTCCTTCCGGTTAATTACGGTTTTCTACGAAAATGCTTATCGTATTAGGGGGAAATTTATGCCAACAACGAAATAGATATTGCTGTTAAAAAAATGCGAATTTATTAACCGGGTCATATCGAATGATCATCATGACTTGACGAATTCTTGAGTTGCAGAATTCATAACACGTGCCGTCCACGATGTAAGGAATCACCAAATCCAATTGAACCGGAACTGGGGAAGCCAGTTCCAAATGGGAAGCCAAAACCAGTCCAACAATCAAAAACTGTTTCCAAAAGGAAAACCAAATCCAAAACCAAAAACCAGAACAAAAAAAAAAACCCCTACAAAACAAAATAATGAGTTGCGGAGTTCATAATTACTTGCAAAGTGTGAAATAAATTGTGAAACTTGCGCCTGATGATCGTGGGTGGCGGTGAAGAGTGCCAGGTGCTAGGTTGTTAGCTTTAATCCAGCCTAAGCTGTAATGTTGGGGACGTCCAAGCAAAATACTACCAACAAGACGACGATCCGCAACTTCTATACGATTTCAATCCGGTTTAATCCTCGAAAACTACGAGATGCCACAAACTTATTCGGATTGAAATGTTGCAACCACTTGCACCGGCGGAAATCGTAAAGCCAAAGAAAGATCGATGAAGTTTCACAAAGTTCCATTCAATTCAATTCAATTCAATGATGCGTTTCACAGATAGCTGTTGGGCACGACTACCAGGATCATTCGCCCATTGCCGACTTCCGTCGAGGATTCTCGGATCTTCTCCAGGAAGGAGACAGAATTTTGAAGTTCTAAATGTCGAGGATTTTCGTATCTTCTCTGGCGAAGAAGACTGATTTTTGAAGTTCCAAATGTCGAGGATTGTCAGATCTTCTCCAGCGAAGGAGACTAAACTTTAAAGTTCCAAATGTCGAGGATTTTCGGATCTTCTCCAGCGAAGGAGACTAATCTCAGAAGTTCTAAATGTCGAGTTTTCGGATCTTCTCCAGCGAAGGAGTTCTTCTTTTGAAATTCTAACTAATATACATGATGATTAAAACCAACCCATAGACCATGAGCTAGCAAATCCAAATGCGGTTATAAGCAGATACCACGTGCATCAAGGAATCTAACCACAAGTCGTGCAACAGAATCCATACATCCAGGGTGAAAAAGTGCAGAAAAGGCACTAATAGGAGCGGGTAAGCTGGCATCAATGAGGGACTCATACAAAATTTGGGAGTTATTCCGATGCAGAGCACAATCAAACAAAATATGTTCAATATCTCCCACCCCTCCACAAGCACACAGGTTAGATATTTTGACGTTTATCTTGTAAAGATGTACTGGGGAACTACAATGATTACTCCTCATTCTGCACACTGTTGTAATCTCCTTTCTAGACAGCTGCAGTTTGTGGAACCATGGAACTGTTGGAGGTGTCTTATAAACTGCACTATAAAGTCTGCCCTTTGAACGGCCCCACTCTCTCCACTTGATGGCCCAGATGTGCCACATCTTTGCTCTAATTATCGGGATAAATTCAGCGGGTCTAAAAGTCTAGCTTCTAAGGCTATTCTATCCACCGTTTCATTATGTCTTATCCCCGAATGGCTTGGAATCCAGCATAACGATATTTTCCCCCCAAGTCTGCGCTTCAAAATACCAATCTTTGCTTTAATATCTAGTAGAATGTAGCTGTTGGAAGCTTCAACCGCACTGCATCCGAAGCTCTGCAGGGCACTTTTGGAATCGGAGACAATTACTGCCTATTTAATATTATAATCTAATATAAGATCTAGGGCGTAACTAATAGCTACCATTTCTGCAGAGCAAATACAAAACGCGCTATTCAACCCATGCCCGACCCTAACATTGAGAGACGGAATAAATACTCCAAAGCCAACTCTATCATCTGGTCCCTTAGAGGCATCGGTAAATATAAATGTCTCTTCCCCGGTCCACATTTTAGAACAAAATTCCCGAAACTCAGTTTCATTTAGACCCACCCCTTTCTCAATTTTGGAATCAACAAAATTAATAGGCGTAAGCTGAGGGGCCAGGTCCTTCTTAAAACACGCTAGAACGTCTCCACTATCGATAATATTATGATATGTGGCGGTGTAGTCAAATGCCTCAACTAAGGGTAAATTCGCCTTCCTTCTAAAAAAGTTATGATTTTCTTGATAGGCAATATATAACCGTTGGGTAGCTAAGAAACTAGGATTATTTCTGAGTCTAAGGGACTTGACCAAAAACTTAGAAGCCAACATAATCCTCCTCACCTCCAAACTTGTTTCACAAGCCTCTCCCAATAAAATATTAATTGGAGTTGATTTCATCATACCCAATGTCACTCTTAAAGCCTGATATTGAATCCTATCCAGACCAGACAGGGTTTTTTTCCCGCAGCACCCCAGTACCATAGAACCATAGTCAAGATGGGAACGCACAAAAGCTTTATAAAATATCACCATGTCCTGGATAGAAATCTCATAATATTAATTCCACTAGCTGCCTTGTGAATCATTCTGCCAACCTGTGGAACCCACGTAAGCTTAGCATCAAATGTAACTCCCAGGTACCTAATTTCATTTTTCCAGGGAATATTTACACTATTAATTACCAAGTCGGGAAGTCCAACCAAAGCAGATCTAGAGAATAAAATAGCAGACGACTTTTGCGGACTAAGCTGCAAGTTAAACCTATGCATCCAATCAGCCACGGCCACCAAGGCTTTATTCATCAAGCCTATAACAAAGAGGACATTGACATCGCTACATAGAAGAACAATATCATCCGCATACTGGAAAATAGAAACCCTATGAGGAATTACTAACTTAATTGAATTTACGTATATATTGAATAAAAGAGGCGCTAAGGGAGATCCCTGAGGGACTCCCTTACTGGTTGATCTAGGTCCGACCAAAAGGTGCCCAACAGCATCCCTAACAAATAGGTTCCTGTTGAGGAGAAGTCGATTGATTAACCCTATATCATCCCTAGGTATACCCTGCTTATCCATCTCTTTTATTAGCATGGGGATGTTAACATTATCATAAGCACCCACAATATCCAATGCAACCATAACAGTAGGAACACTTTTGCTTTGAGCACACAAAATATGACTTGTTATGATGGAAACATTATCCATAAAGGACTTACCGCGCCTAAAGCCCGTTTGAGATTCTGATAGCAATCTGTGATGTTCAAGAAACCACTCTACTCGGCACTTTAATATTGACTCCAGCACCAGCACCGAATGTAGATGACAAATTAATCGGCCTATAAGAACTAAGAAGATTAGGATCCCTAAACGGCTTTAATATTGGAACAACCAGCTGCGTCTTCCAACTATCAGTTATACTGCACTCATTTCTCAATAATTTGTTGTAAAAATTCACTAAGAACACGGCTCCCTCTATTGGTAGATGCTTTATTAACTCAAAAGAAACTCTATCCAAGCCGGGGCATGTGTTTTTACGACTTCTAACTACAGCGATAAACTCATCAAGAGTAAACAAGGGAGAAACTGCAGTGTTGTTATCCCCCTCTAAACTTGTCTCCTCAACGACACCATCGGTATGACCCACTAAGGAGTCCAACAATTCCGCCGGTACTGAAAAGTTAAGTGGGAGGTGACAATTAGCCCGGTTAATAGCCTTTGAAAATCTTTTCACACATTTCCATACATACCTAGCACTTTCATTGGGAGATAAACTCTGGCAAAATTTTTTAAATCCCGCCCTTTTCTTTTCCCTAAGAAATTTTCTACAACTGGCCCGAGTTCTTTTTACATTAACATAATTCTCTAGAGTAGGGGAAATTTTATAATTTCTAAAAGCCTCTCTCTTTTTAGCGATCATTAACGAGCACTCGTGATCCCACCAAGGAAGTCCACATTTACGCCCGCTCTTATGAAGGGGTATGGAAGCATCAGCCGCGTCCATGACTACCTTGTAGAACTGGTCGTATGACGTAATAAGGGGGTTGCTTAAACCAATACTAATCGATTCAGAGAATTTGTCCCACTCTGCCTTAGAAACATTGTGCTTCAGGAGATACGCTTGAGCAGGATGATGTAAACTGTCCGGTTTACACCGAATATGACACAGTATCGGGAAATGATCGCTAAACCCTCTGTCGAATAACACCCGGAAATCGGCAACATGAGCCAATTCGTGTGAACAAAATACCAAATCGGGGACAGAACGGGAGTCATTTCCTGTAAATCGGGTGGCAGACCCGTCATTAAGAATAAAGAAGTTGTTATCATTAATAAAGTCTGATAGTAAAGAGCCGTTAGCCAGACCGACATAGCTTTTAATTGTAGAGCCCCACTCTTCATTATGAGAATTTACATCACCAGCAAAGGAAACGGGTTTTGACCTAAGTCTATCAACCAAAGTATCTAAGAACAAACGAGACATAGGAAGGTCAGGAGGATTATACATCGAAACTAGAAAAAGGCTGTCCATCTCCAACACTATAACCTGACATCTATCCGGCCTGGGGATATCTGACACATCTAAAACATTATACCCGATGTTGGAGCGTAAAAAAACAATAATCCCTCCATACCCATCCATACGATCGTCCCTGACAAAGGAGAAACCAGACAAGGAAAACTTGATATGTGGGAGTAAAAAAGATTCATTAATCATGACTATATCCGGACCAAAGTCACGAATAAGTCTAATAATACTATCACGATTACTTCTAATACCGCAAGTGTTCCAGTGAATAATTGAGAAATTACTAATTTTAACAGAAAGATTTGACTGTCGATCTGGGAACATTAATAAATTAAAACCTGCATCCTCCGGGAGGAGGCAGGGATTCAAAAAGACTCTCAATTTCATGGTAAGCACTTTTACTGGGTATATTGGACAAAACTTTTTTCTTTAAATTTTCAAACCGATACCAAAATTCACCAGAGGAAGAAACCCTTGGAGAAGCAGTGTCCATCTCGGACTCTGACGATAAGTCATTTAAATATGAGGGAGAAGATTGACTTTTGCTAGTGTGATTCAACTTCCCTGTGGGCGTCCCTATCATACCCTGATTCTATTTGGGGGGACTTACGCTTTTTTGCTATGACAGAATAAGTTTTAGAAGCAGATCTAGGGGAAGGCTGAGAGACGGGGGCAACCGTGTTATGGATAGGAGGGAAATTTTCATTAGAGCGATTAAACTCACTTGATTTGGGGCCTCTTGGAAAGAGTTTGGCCGCTTCAAAAAAGGATAGGTTGTACCATGCCATAGCCTCATTGTTTTTCTTCTGTCTGTCCATTTCCGGACATGATCTATCAGTGGCCTGATGAGAGCCTTTACAGTGGATGCAAGTTGGCTTTGGAGATATTTCGCAATTACCCAGGCTGCATTTACCTTCATGATTTAAGTGGTCTGTCGGGCATGGTTTCTTCTTATAAAACTGTTCTTTCAGTTCACAATGAAATACTGGATGATCTCCAGCGCAGAAACTACATCTACCCTTGCTTTTACATTGGTTTTTCCAATGACCAAACCTGCAACAATTCATACATAAGACAACAGGACTAACATATTTTTCGATTGAACACTCACTTTTATAGATACAGATTGATTCTGGAAGAGTTTTACCCTCAAATGTTATTATATAATCATTAGATGGAACTGTCTTGAAACCAAAAGTGCCAGGCAGAACACCTGGGCATTTGACCCTTTTAGTTAGTCTGCGAACATTAACAATCTTAACGCGCTTTAGCGATCTTCCGATGTTAACCTTGGCTTCTGCCTCAGAGTAAAAATCATCCTCATCAATTAAGTCACCAATGTCCCTCAACAACCCTCGGCAAGTGACTAGTCTTTGAGGTATATACTTATTATACCCACCAGCTGTCGAATATGATTCATTAGATAAAAATTTATTTGCAGACTCAGAGGTGTCAAACTCCAAACCGATTTTATTGGCTCCTTTTCTAGAAATTTTCAATATACCTTGAACTTTCTGCGCTTGAAGTAACTTCCCAAAGTTCATAGGATGAAGAGTCCCCACCTTAATTGTAATCCCCTCCAGAATCACCATAAAAGGCCCCTGATCGGTGATTTCATATTTTGTTTTCCGATTTACTGTCCTTCTTATGTTTGCGGAGATTTTGGCAACTTCCCGCAGGATTTCAGCGTCTTGCTCGAACTGATTCTTGATAATCTGGATCTCTGCCGATAACTTTGACAACTCTTCACCTGAGGGCACATCAAAATACTGGAGCCTGGAAATATCTTCAGCAGTTTTTTTGCAATCCGGTGGCAAAATGTTACAAATAAAAAAAAACCACAAAGTTCCAAAAAAAGAGACCGATGGTGCGGGCAATAAGATGTTCGGTTCCGACACCACTAGGGTCAATGGGCCAATAATGACAGAAGTTAATCAACGCAAGGAGACCGAATATTACCTAACTACTACCCGCTATTACCAATAATAATCAAGTATTACATACACACATGAATGAGATTACACAGTAACGTCTTAGGAAATCGAAGACGAACGTGGGCCAAAGGTCGAGTGCTTAACTGTACTAATGGCCGAGTGCATTCGCGTTGACAGAGGATTGAAATATAACCTCTCCAAAAAGCAACAAGTGTAAATAAATGAAAGCAAGGGACAAGAATAGAAATTGCCGTTAGTTCGGAAATAAGAAGGAATACACGACGATCGTCTCGTGCAATCCAACCGCATTCCGCAGTAACATCTTAAATTGCAGCAAAAATGCAAGGACTTACACTTATTTACATTTATTTTAGGACATGCAAACCACACCAAGCAATTAGACAGTTACAGTGTGTTCGAAGACAATGAAGTAGCAATACCAGTAGTTTTGAGGATTAAGACAGTGTGTAATTGTGAGAATAAAACATTTAATAGGTAGTCTTCGAGTATTATTAACCTACATGTCAGAAACATAAGTCGAAGTAGCCAATGACAAATTGAACCCGTTACATAACACCAACGAAAGAGTAATACTGCAAAATGCGGGATAGTTTCCCAATCGAAATGCAAATGGCAGAATTATGGTCGATGACCACGGAAAGTTTATTGTTTTTATTCCGTTGAAAATACTTTCTGGACTCTTCGAAGATTATGAAAAACTTATATTAAATATGAAGCAAGAGTAGGTTTTAATACGAGCCAGCAACGATTTAGACGCGGTGGTATTTCTAGACGACAATGAACCAAAAACCACACCTCCGGAAACATCTAAAATGTCGCTTAAAAAGATATATTGGAAAATCCCATAAATAATGACAAATATTGCCGAAGAACTTGCTCCAACAAAAATTATGGAGCCTGATAAAGAGATAACAATCGGTTTTAGATCTTGAGAAATTATTGAATATTTATCTCTTCCCGAAACCACAACTGTAAAAAATCTTAAAAACAACAAATAAACTAGAGACTCCGCGTCATATTATAGCCTTTCACGAAAATATGAAAGGTCAAATAGAAAAGGATATGAGTCAATTTGATGACGTCGATTTAACTAATATAAAAGTATTTGCAACTTTTCGACATTGTTATTACGGAACTTCCAACGAGCCAATTTTCACACCGCCGCAATTGAAAGAAAAATGTCCCATTACACACATCGATTGTTGTCATCAAAGAGAGTCTTTACAAACTGGTTCCGTGGTAATGCGAATTCAATTTGAAACTAGCTCTAACATCGGTTTATTGTGCTTTCAACGAGTCAACTTAAAAAAAGCACTCGGCGGCTTCATTATGTAGTGAACCATTTGATTTCCGTCGTAATTTATTTAGCGACGAAACCTTCACCATCCTTTAAATTATTAGTATATCTAACGTCACGATCCGCATAATGACAACTGTCAAAAATTTTTTCAAAAATTTTTTGAACATCTGTGAATTTGGTTTTACAATCCGTTACATTGGTTTTACTATATTAGTGAGCGGATTGTAACTAAATACTTCGTCATGTTAAATGAGACAATAAACCGATGTTAGAGCTAGTTTCAAATTGAATTCGCATTACCACGGAACCAGTTGGCTCGTTGGAAGTTCCGTAATAACAATGTCGAAAAGTTACAAATACTTTTATATTAGTTAAATCGACGTCATCAAATTCCTTTCATATTTTCGTGAAAGGCTATAATATGACGCGGAGTCTCCAGTTTATTTGTTGTTTTTAAGATTTTTTACAGTTGTGGTTTCGGGAAGAGATAAATATTCAATAATTTCTCAAGATCTGAAACCGATTGTTATTTCTTTATCAGGCTCCATAATTTTTGTTACAGCAAGTTCTTCGGCAATATTTGTCATTATTTATGGGATTTTCCAATATATCTTTTTAAGCGACATTTTAGATGTTTCCGGAGGTGTGGTTTTTGGTTCATTGTCGTCTAGAAATACCACCGCGTCTAAATCGTTGCTGGCTCGTATTAAAACCTACTCTTGCTTCATATTTAATATAAGTTTTTCATAATCTTCGAAGAGTCCAGAAAGTATTTTCAACGGAATAAAAACAATAAACTTTCCGTGGTCATCGACCATAATTCTGTCATTTGCATTTCGATTGGGAAACTATCCCGCATTTTGCAGTATTACTCTTTCGTTGGTGTTATGTAACGGGTTCAATTTGTCATTGGCTACTTCGACTTATGTTTCTGACATGTAGGTTAATAATGCTCGAAGACTACCTATTAAATGTTTTATTCTCACAATTACACACTGTCTTAATCCTCAAAACTACTGGTATTGCTACTTCATTCTCTTCGAACACACTGTAACTGTCTAATTGCTTGGTGTGGTTTGCATGTCCTAAAATAAATGTAAATAAGTGTAAGTCCTTGCATTTTTGCTGCAATTTAAGATGTTACTGCGGAATGCGGTTGGATTGCACGAGACGATCGTCGTGTATTCCTTCTTATTTCAGAACTAACGGCAATTTCTATTCTTGTCCCTTGCTTTCATTTATTTACACTTGTTGCTTTTTGGAGAGGTTATATTTCAATCCTCTGTCAACGCGAATGCACTCGGCCATTAGTACAGTTAAGCACTCGACCTTTGGCCCATGTTCGTCTTCGATTTCCTAAGACGTTACTGTGTAATCTCATTCATGTGTGTGTGTGTAATACTTGATTATTATTGGTAATAGCGGGTAGTAGTTAGGTAATATTCGGTCTCCTTGCGTTGATTAACTTCTGTCATTATTGGCCCATTGACCCTAGTGGTGTTGGAACCGAACATCGTATTGCCAGCACCATCGGTCTCTTTTTTTGGAACTTAGTGAAACTTCATCGATCTTTCTTTGGCCTTACGATTTCCGCCGGTGCAAGTGGTTGCAACATTTCAATCCGAATAAGTTTGTGGCATCTCGTAGTTTTCGAGGATTAAACCGGATTGAAATCGTATAGAAGTTGCGGATCGTCGTTTTGTTGGTAGTATTTTGCTTGGACGTCCCCAACATTACAGCTTAGGCTGGATTAAAGCTAACCAACCTAGCACGTGGCACTCTTCACCGCCACCCACGATCATCAGGCGTAAGTTTCACAATTTATTTCACACTTTGCAAGTAATTATGAACTCCGCAACTCATTATTTTGTTTTGTAGGGTTTTTTTTTTGGTTCTGGTTTTTGGTTTTGGATTTGGTTTTCCTTTTGGAACCAGTTTTTGATTGTTGGACTGGTTTTGGCTTCCCATTTGGAACTGGCTTCCCCAGTTCCGGTTCAATTGGATTTGGTGCCTCCTTACATCGTGGACGGCACGTGTTATGAATTCTGCAACCCAAGAATTCGTCAAGTCTTCAAGTTAGCTCGATTCAGGACGTTGCAGTGCATATCTCCTCGTCCAAGAGTGATAAGCATTCGTGCCTATCCCACTGACTGGTGAACCCGTAGGCAGTATACAGGACAGCCATCTTAGAGCTTGCCCGACTCGTTCGTTGCTGGTAACTGGAGGATCACAGATAAGCCTCTATTTACGTTTCGGTTAATTTTATTCCTATTAAATACAAATTTCAATTTAAATATCAATATAAATTAAAGAGCTCAGTTAGGGTAAAGATAAAGTACCCAATTATAGAAACATTTGTTTGTAAGAGCTGTTTGTAAACGATCGATCGTAACCAAGCTTCCTGTGCTTAGTGTGTACTTGAGCCAATATATGGAGATTTAAACTGACGTGCACGTTTATTTATTAATTATTTATTTGGTTTTTGATTATTTGGGTTCGAACTTTGTTAACTTTGTGAGTTTGTTGGGTGGCTAGTGAGCAAGGACACTAGTCACTATCACTAACTTATAGTATAGGTTGGTGTTTTGTCCTAGCTGACGCCCCGGTCTCCAACCTTTGATTTGTTTACTTTCTTTTTTTATACCCCGCCCATATTTTGAGAAACTGAGCTGCTTGGGTCCTATACTTACTGCTTCCAATCGGTAGCAAAGTGAGCAAAGTATAGTAGGATTGCTTCGGTCTCCCCTCCACCTTCAGTGGAAAAGAGACGTGGCAGTTATACGAAAGATACGATTTTAGTGTTGACGCCAAATCATCGTTAATTACTGCGTCCAAGGTGACGCCATTAAGTTCGTACCGGATCTCTCTAAAGAGAATAGCAATTATATTGTTAATAAACCTAATTTTTCCACTGTACTTGTCATCTTCATTATTAACGACAACTTTTATATACAACACCTGTTAATAGGACAAAGTGAAGGAATCTAGTTCCTATGTATTTTATCGTTATAGTCGAATTTTGGAGACACGAATGGTTTGTTGTGATATAGAATTCTTAGTTAACATCTAAAATTGTCATTTTAAGTGCACTTGAAATCCCAATGATTTCAAAAAGGTGCGACTTATAATGGCACTGGATTTGCGAACAGTATTTCTCATTTTATACTTTTTTGGTAATTGTACTGAAACCTCTGATGGTTCCCTTATAAAAGTCCTGTTATATCTGGTAACCATTACTTCTTTTTAAATGCAATCTCACTTTTATCGTTTTGTTCCTGAAATTAATAAGATCTCCGTCTTAGTCGATGATTTTTACAGTGATATAATTAATTGTCCTAACGCTGATTGGAAAATAAAGTATAAGTAGGGGCGACTCGACTATTTTATACCCAGGGTCCACAGCCGGAAAAAACGGATGTATTATGTGAACCGGTTTACCATTACTGTATGAGCCAACACATATATTACAATCGACGCAAATAGCATTGACTTTATTAATATTTACTACTTCATCCGACTGTTCTGTAGGCGATGCTTCAACTACTCGATTTTTAAATCCAAGCA